GTATTCAAGTTAAGAACGTGAAAAGACTGAATAATTTGTGATATCTTAATTGAAGTTAGTTTAAAATTGTATATTTAGATAGAAATTAATTGAGGTTTTGCACCGCGACCTGAAATCTATTGTGCTCTCTTCTAAGAGCTTATTAGGCGCGATGCAGGTGATGTGATCACTGTCCACGTAATTCAATCCAACGGCCTTCGGTCTACATTTACAAATTGCTGAATAATCTAGGATCAGGTGTACTGAGGGTCTATTCTATAACACGATTTTCGGATTTTCAAGCCAATTTTCGAATAAAATATTCGTTAGTTTTTGAGTTGTAGAAAGCAAAAACGAAAATTGTACGTATTTATTCTGACACTGGGTGGTACAACTTTYGTTAATTATAAGGAAGATCCGAATTTCGAATAGAATACATTTACGATTCGAGATACAGAATAGGGCTTCTGAAGTCAATAGAATATTTACGTAATTTCACTTTTTAGAGATACACCGTAGTAATTATAAAACTTTGTATGCCGACGTTAACGTAAGCTAATTAAGATATTCTCCCGATTAGACGCAAATATATTAGAGCAGCAATTCTTTGACCTTGATATTTGGGGATTATTTGATTTGGCAAGGTCTTAAACGTTTTTTCGCAAAACTTCTATTTACGATATACATACAGTAATTTTATTTATGTGAGTTATACATATATTCTTCCAATGATCGAAAGCAAATTCGATTTAGTGTTTTTTTATTTTCAATGTGTCGTTTTCATTAAATTAAAAATAATATTAGCAAAATAACTAAAAACTGCATAGTGGAAATGAGCAAAACAAATATGATTTGCGCTCAAGCGTAATAATTCAAGTTGGCTTTCTTTTTTGCTTGCACTTCCATAATAGCATCCATGAAATCTTCATGTGTGACGCAAGTGGCATTACGGCGTAATGCTATCATACCAGCTTCTACACATACGGCTTTACATTGCGCACCGTTGAAGTCATCGGTAGAACGTGACAACTCCTCAAAGTTCACATCATTGCTAACATTCATTTTACGTGAGTGTATTTGCATAATTCTTGCACGCGCCTCCTCGTTGGGATGTGGAAATTCAATTTTGCGATCCAGGCGTCCTGAACGTAATAGAGCTGGATCCAGAATGTCAACACGATTTGTAGCTGCAATAACTTTAATATCGGCAGTTGAGCTAAAACCATCCAGCTGGTTCAACAATTCTAACATGGTACGCTGCACTTCACGATCACCAGCCTTCTCGGAATCAAAACGTTTTGTGCCAATGGCATCCAATTCATCGATGAAAATAATTGCTGGAGCTTTCTCTTTGGCTAAGGCAAAAGCATCGCGCACTAATTTAGCGCCATCACCGATAAACATCTGCACCAACTGCGGACCAGCCAACTTCAAAAATGTAGATTTTGTTTGTGCAGCACAGGCACGCGCTAATAGTGTTTTGCCTGTACCGGGAGGGCCATATAGAAGTACTCCTTTGGGTGGATGTATACCAAGAGTCTTGAATTTATCTTTGTGAGTCATTGGTAATACTACAGCTTCAATCAGTTCTTGTATTTGTTTGTCCAAACCACCAATATCTGAATATTGTTCAGTTGGTCTCTCATCGACTTCCATAGCCTTTACTCGCGCATCATATTCTGCAGGCAATGTTTCTAAGATTAGATATGAATCTTTGTTGACTCCTACTAAATCTCCGGGTTTCAATTTTTCTGCGTCTACCAAACCGATGACTGGCAAAAAGTAAGCCTGACGAGTGGAAGTTTTGATAACGGCGCATTTGCCTTTCCTTTGATTGTCCAATACCAAAACAGCGCCATCATCCTCTTCTTCTTGAGGATCCACGTCCAGCAGCTCAATAACGTTTGATACCAAGTACGGCAAAGTTTTGTTAACCTATTAAGTATATATATAAATTGTGATTAACATATTTTTTTACGATAACTATTAATTACCTTAATCTTTTCAGTATTATCTTTGATTTTTTCATTTTGGGCTTGAATTTCGTGAGTAATACGCATAACCTCACTCTTCATGATCTTGATTTCATTATCCATTAGACGCGTCCTGCTGACTATTTCGTCGGTGGACATACGTAATACCTCCTCTCCCAAAGTTTCCTCACCATCATCCCAAATGGATTTATCTTCAAGAGTAGTCGCCATTTGACAAAAAATATATATTTATTTACTTATTACGTTGAAAAATATTGGTTAATATTCCGCTTTAATTCCCGACTTTCAATGACTTGTAAATTTTTGTTTTGTGCTTATTGTGACATTTCTCTACGCTTGTCTTGCTTTAATGCTAATATTTTTTCAAATCGATAACAAACACGTTAGTCGATATGGCAGATTCTGTATCGATTTCTTACACAATTAGAAATATTTTGACACACAAAAACATTTTATTCCAACTATTTATCAAAAAGTAGCTAAAATTGTTTTTCCCTCACTTAATAAAAAAATATATACTGTCGAATTGGAATATTTCGACTCTTTCGCCTCCCCGGTTTGATGTTACGGATGGATAGAGGAGGTCCTCAGGATTAAAAAATGTATACACATATACCGTTATCAGACCCATAGTTTTCAAGATATTTCACTTTAAAGTTCAAAAATTTGTAAAAACAATAATAATATTTCGACTCTTTCGCCGCCGCGGTTTGATGGTACGGATGGATAGAGGAGGTCCTCAGGATTAAAAAATGTATACACATATACCGTTACCCACAGACCCACAGTTTTCAAGATATTTCACTTTAAAGTTCAAAAATTTGTAAAAACAATGCTCGTTATTTCACTATGTTTAACCCTCTTTTCACACATTTTTTAATTAATATATATTTAATTACACTGCACACATTCGTATGTATCAAAAATTATACTAATTGTATATTTTTTAAGAAAATAAATAAGACTTGTTACAGCTTTTAATAATTTTACATTTCACATGTTAGTTCCAACACTACAGTTGCCCATTGTCGTCGGAAAATTATAAATGGTTTCAATTTAGCGACAGCTATAACTGCAGGCCTGCTGCCGTGGAAGTAGTGTTGTCGTCTAAATAATTGTGACCTTAAGAACGTGGGTATTCTAATATTTGACAGATGCTGTCTGTCATTTGTCGCCATCAACGTGTTACATACTTAACTTTTCAAGTGCTTTCAACAGCTGACCGTGACAGCTTAAAATATACCGCGGTTCAGGTTATGTCAACTTTGACCCTTTCAAAATAATATAAATATGTATGGATTTATTAATAGTCATATCATCCGTGGGAGCAATAGAGGAGATAACGTAACAAAAATTTTATGTGAATGGGATTAAAAATTAAATTTCAGAGTCAGTAAACAGTTTAGACTTGAATTATTTATGATTTGGCGATAAAAGAACTTAAGTTTTGTTTGGAAGCTTTTGTTGGGTTGGTTTCTTCTGGGAGTAATGATTTATTACAATACGGATCAGCATGATTGTAAGTAAACTATTTTGGAAGTACACTGTTCTTTCGTCGCTATTTAAACACAAAATCACTCATCTAAAAACTGGTTGTGGAGCGCACGTGCGCTAAGGTGTAAGCAGAGAGAGTTTGTGAAAAGTTGGTTGTTTAGGTAGTGCCTAAGATATATGTATTCACTAGTTGCTTTATATGCGCTGAGCTGAGCTTTACGCATTTAGTCGCAARACTTTCGCTTCAATGAAAATTACTCAATAACTTCTTTTTTCGAACAGTCTGCTATGTTTGCTCGCGTAACATTTTATCCAACATTGTTTTACAATGTATTGATGGAAAAGGCATCCTTGAGAAATTGGTACGATCGCATTGATGAGAATGTAATTTTGGGTGCTTTACCTTTCCGTTCGGAGGCGAAAGAAGTAAGAAGGTATCTAAAATTATCTGCTCTTGCTAACTATGTGTTGAATTGTTATTTCGTAGTTGATCGCAAAAGAAAACGTGAAAGCAGTTGTTTCCATGAATGAAGACTACGAGCTATCTATGTTTTCCAATGACTCAGAGAAATGGAAATCGCATGGGATTAGTTTTCTACAATTACCTACAACAGATATTTTTGAAGCACCAGATCAAGATAAACTTTACGATGGAGTAAAATTTATAAACAAATTTCTACCTCAAGAGAAACGTATAAAAAGTTTGAATGCGGCTTCTGAGCCTGAGAATGATGGGACTGTATATGTTCATTGTAAGGCCGGTCGGACGCGTAGCGCTACCCTTGTTGGATGTTACCTAATGATGGTGAGTCTATTAAAAAAAAATCCGGCAAAATTTCGGATTGGCGCGCTGATTTAATGGTATGGAGAGATAGAGGAGGGTCTAGACGAGCGAAATAATTTTTATTACATACATACTTCTTTCTTCAAAATATATCCATATTTAGGTTTCTTTCCATTACGCACAGCATAAATACAGATATATGTATTAAGTGGAAAATGTGGACTTACATACTTTGGGGAAATATCATAACGTGTGTTATAATTTTGGTCTGTATATAAAAATATCTCGGAAACTACTAACTTAGGTAAACAACCTCCTTAATCTCTCTTTTCCATCATATCGCGGTTATATTATATGTAGTTTTCATAATATTTTTATCACAGATTTTTGCAATTATATTATTTTTGTATTGAATTAGAAAAATGGCTGGTCACCGGAAGAAGCAGTGGACTTCATGCGCGCTCGCCGACCTCATATTTTATTGCATTCTAAGCAATGGGAAGCTCTCAAGTTATTCTACAAGAAAAATGTCGAGAGTACGTGACCTCTTAAGTATCTATCGGAAAGTACAAAAGATTTGGATATTCTCTATTATACATTGTTATTCAAATGTTTTAACTTTACGTAATAAAGAAGAACGTCAGTTATATTTATGCTAATTTATACAACCTATGTTTAAATATTTCTTCGTTACTTATTGTTTGTGAAATGTTTTCTTCATTTTACGTAAGTGTAATAAAATCAGTTACTCAACATTGATGTTTAATTTTATTTCATTGTTCATAGGTTTACCATTGTATTAAGGTAACTGCATTTAATACACTTAAATTTCGTAAAAGTAACAGATTTTCTTCTTCATTAGTTACATTTCATGTAGGTTCGAATACAAATATCAAAATTTTACGTTTCTAGGTGTTGCAGGCCTGTTTGACATAACGATGTAAATTTATTACAATTTTTAAASTGTTCTAATGTAACGTATTGAATGAAATGAATTGAAAAAAACACAGCAATTATTTAGAGCTCGCTTCCTCAACAGCTGAACCAGATCCAGCAGGCTTGATCTTCCAAATCTGTTTAATGGAGTTGGCAATTCCGACGTCATTTTGTATGATATAGAAAAGTCCACCAAGGGTTGCAATAGACAGTAATATCAAGGCACCATGGGCGACTTTTGGTAAGAGTGGTCCAACCACTTGCGGGCGAGCATAATCTGTAATTATGGCCTCCACACCCCTTTTATATTAACAGTATAAACAGATACAAAAAAAAWATGGATTACTCGCTGAAACAATGAAAAAAATTTAAATTTTTTTTACCAGTGTGAGTGAAGGACTACAGAAACTGCAAGTAGAGCATCGAGCGTTTGCGAAGGGTARATAAAAGCGGCAGGAACAACACCCAGCAGGGAAAGAGATATCAGGCGTTCAGCGGTCCATAAAGGTGTGTGATTGCCTTTAGCTGCAGACATCTTAGGAGAGCTTAATGAGAAGTTTCTTGACAAGCACTAAACAGAAATGCTCATTATAAGCTTTGAAATGATTATATTATTTACATAACATGCCTGTGCATTATTCAGTTTAGTTAAAGTCTTCAAACTTTCTGCAGAAAGAGTACTCTTTGTTGTCAAAGTTTTCATGGGCAARGATAGGGCCGTTTTACCTAGTCCTACAACTTAAAAGATCGCGATTATATAATRTAAGACAATTCCCGTATTTATCTTTACCATTCAATTTGCCGGCATTACGCAGCATTACTGAAAGAGCCATTTTTGATATATCACTTAGATTTTTATAACAATTAAGTAACTATGATCTTGACTGAGAAGCACTTGCTGATTATTTTTGCAAATCTTTCTCTACTGCTCCAGAAGATTATCAGATTTTKTTTTTTTTTTTTTCAAGTAGTGATATAAAAACAGTAGTTCCAAATGTCAAATACATACCGCGTTGCCAAGTATACATAAAAAATTGTTATCGGTATAAATGTCGCTTGCCACTTGCTTTTTGTTTTACCGAACTTAATATGCATTAAATAATTTGCACATACTAAGTCTTCGCACAAATAGATATTTTTTTAATTAAACTCCATACTTGCTTTTAATTTTTATTTTATTTAAAAATGGACGGTTTAGTACACTTAACAGCTGTACGTAATTTTACATACATGAATTTCGACTTAGAATTATATTTTCCAATGAGGACGGAATGTACAAATRTATTCGAATATTTTTACTTATGAGCTAATAAGACACATTCAAGTTTGTAAAATCGTAAATTATACGTTCTAAGAGATTCCTGATTAAGGTAATGTCGTTGCATTTAAAAATTTTTAACACCATATTCTAAAAAACTATTTATGAAAGTTAGTAATAAACACGGTTGGTTAAAATAAAATCCATGTGACGACACTTAAAAAAATACCACTTGCATATGACATTATAGGGCTAGCACCTGCTTTATAAAAATCCCAATCAAATATAATGTTGGATGCGTCCGAATCTTTCCATGGATAGGCACCATCATCGAAGTACATAGGGCAGTCGTCTCGCTCTCGTTCGTACTCTATGGCATCGATGGCGACTGCAGCACCCTCTGTGTGATTCCATGAGGTGACATCTTGATTTAGTTTGCAAAAGGCTCCAACAGCTGCAAAGTAAAAAATGTATTTTCGATGTTACCGTTAAGCATAATTGGTAGCAAATTAATTTATAATGTTCGTAACATACAAACCTTGGGACATTAGMACACGATTTAAATCTGCGCGTTGATATACCCAACAACGGTACTTAGAAAGTGGATCCAAATCATCATAAGTAATGAGGTAAGATTTGAGATTCTCTTTCCAAAAACCTATACACTTCATGCGATAGTCAGGGTCACCTAAAGTTTTAAATTAAATTGGAATAATTGTTTAGTAAAATTTARAAACATAACTAACTGTATATATCCACAGGCCTTCCCAAATGATCTACCGATAGACAGTAGTTCTCATCAATAGCCAATTCTTTTTGATCTGTGTCACAAACTGATAAATCCGATATATTTTGTTTGCAATGTATGTTCGGCCGAGGACTTAGGGTTACACCTCCAAGAATTCTTGTTCTGAAGGGATGTTCTCCACGTTGTGTAAAATTGAATTTTCCCGCCACGGGGCAACGTACTGGTACCGGATTTTTCGCTAGAAACAAGTCATATTTCCAAGCTTCTGCATTTTTGAACTGAACCCATGAGCAAACAGTGCTGAAATCGTCCTTGATAACAGCCAAACCTTTGCGGTAGCGTATAATATTGTGATGACGTGGTTGAAAATCAAAACATACATAATCCTTTTGACAGCCATCCACTGTTAGACGAGCCATCATAATTCGATTATCTCGCCGCTCGCGACACACGTATATCGTACGACGGTAACGCGCTCGATCGGGGTAGTATGTCTCGTTTATATGAGTTTCACTAATAGAGACATCTGCATCGATATTTGCAGTATTAACCCATTCACCAGAGAAATTTTGTGGGAGTGTACAACCGGGTTCAACATATTCTGCTTTTACAGGTGTAAGCTTAAGACGTTCGGGCGAGTTCTCTGGCGTTTTTAAAGTATTACATTCAGCAGTAATGGAGATACCAATGTACAAATCATCGTCACGATTTTTCAGAAAACAGCGGTATTTTTCATCTTTACGCGATTCTTTCGTGTTTGCCACCGCAAAATAATGATTTTTGCCGACAAACCAATCGCCCAAGCAACTATACTCCACAGTACCAGAAAATGTGCCTTCCATTCCCTCACACTGTTGGTATGTGACATTGAATTTCTGATTTTGTATCAAGAATTGAGTACCAGCTGTTTGRCAAGATTGGATACGCGCATCGGGTTTGTTGCAGACACCAGTAAACCGGAAACGATTCTAATAGAAAAAAATAACAAATATTTTACAAAAGTTTCTTTGAGAAGTATAGTATATCTGATATTACTTGATATGTGAAATGCCACACGCCTTCAAGCGACGATCGACAATTAATGGGAACAAAATTTTCGTTAAACAATGTCACTAATTGTTGATCGTCTTTTATTCCTTTGCAAACATTTTCGACGCTTGGCTCTACTCCCGTTGGTATAGAAACGCATGGACCTAAAATAGAAAAGGGACATTTTTGTCACAAAATTATTTGAACATAAATTGATTTGTACCTTCAACTTTTTCAAACACATTCAGTGTTCGTATAACAGTGCGAACACAATGATAGCAATTTGCCGACCGCTCTTTAAATATGAATGAATACTCATCACCATGGCCAGACATGGTTACACATACTCCACGGCGTGACATGGAAGTCGCATCTATGACTGTTTGTGTGGGAAAACCAGTTTCCCATGAGAACCAACTTCCTTGTAGAATTCTTGGAATAATACATCTGTTTTGCTCCAATTGGTTTTGCTGCGCTAAAACTTTTTATAAAATATGTATAAAGTTTAATAATGGTTTGAGTCAGCATCCATACTGAAGCTGGGTGTGGTCAATGAACAATTGTTTACCTATGCTTACAGCGCCGAGAAGTAATATACATTTTAATGGTATCATTTTTAACTTTACATTTATGCTCTAATTTGTACTTTAACCATTCAAAATATTGTTTATATTTATTTAAAACTAATAACTTGTAATTAACTACGACAGGAATGTTAGAGAACGTATAAACTAAATAAACTGCAGTAATTGTGATGTAAATGGTGTTTTTAAAACATCGATAAATCATAAGTATCGATTTCTAAATTTTTTTGATATTAGAAGAGGGCAATCGGTACTCTTTTCTCTTTGTTGCGTTGAGATGAAGCAGAGTTTACTATTTTTATTATATGTTGAATTATCGAATCTAAATAAAGGTTAATGCAACGTTAAATTTTTTCTTTAAAATTTTAATGATTWTATATATTCGAAAGCATAGTTTTTTTATTGCCGCAAAATGTTTACTACGGTAACACTTGTTGAGGGCTGCCACTTGCAGGAAAATTATAATAAAGACGACATTTCGAATTCGAACAAGTACACATTTTTCTTGTCACCGACACAGTGAGTCAGGCGCACATCGTTTTTCTTCAGCATTTTGAAATATTGTTGATTTTTTAATTAAAAATCTCAAGGAATAACCAAAAGAATGTCCACTATTGCTAGCCCTCTGTCCATTGCGGGCACAAGACAATCAGGCGCTTCTGTKCGTACACAAAATGGTAAGATTTTCAGAGTTATAAAAACATCTGCGACCAAGTATCGCCGGGAGAACGAAAAGCCATGTGAAATATTTCTTGAATTGTGTGACTTTTCGAGAATTTTTTTAAAATAATGTTGCAAATGTGTGATATTTTAAATGAAAAATCAAAACTTACAGTTCTTATTTCTTAATTAAAATACATACAATTTAAATGAAAAAGTGAGGTTACAATTATTACCATWTAGTTCCTTAAGTAAAGAGGCAAGGGTGTGGTTTTGAAATATTTTTAATATGCTTTCAGTTATGGCTGCGAGCTCCATTGCAAATATTGTAAAAAGTTCYTTGGGCCCTGTTGGCTTGGACAAAATGCTGGTTGACGACATTGGTGATGTCACTGTTACCAATGATGGTGCCACAATCCTCAAATTGCTGGAGGTGGAGCACCCAGCTGCCAAGTAAGTATTTTGAATTGTACATAATACGTTTAAACTTCAATGYTGTATTTTATATAAAAGGGTTCTTGTGGAACTAGCGCAACTACAAGATGAAGAAGTTGGCGATGGTACAACATCAGTTGTCATATTAGCCGCAGAGTTGTTAAAGGTACGTAATAATAATATTTATAGTTTTATTTATTAAAATTTAACTATGTATATATGATMTCACTTGTTTTTTAGAATGCTGATGAGCTTGTCAAGCAAAAAATTCATCCAACTTCAATCATTGCTGGGTATCGTCTGGCATGCAAAGAAGCTTGCAAATACATTTCAGAACATTTAACAGCTCCTGTTGATGAGCTGGGACGTGATTCCCTAATTAACATTGCAAAAACATCGATGAGTTCGAAAATCATTGGTGCCGACGCTGATTTGTTCGCCACTATGGTTGTGGATGCCGCGCAAGCAGTGAAGGTATATTTATTGGAAATTGATTATTAAAGATGTTTAATTTGTTGTGCTTTTGTGTAGATCATAGATCCGAAAGGAAGTCCGTTATATTCAATTAAGGCTATAAATGTCTTGAAGGCTCATGGCAAATCAGCACGCGAGTCGGTTTTGATACCCGGTTATGCATTGAACTGTACCATTGCTTCACAACAAATGCCGAAAAAAATTGTCAACGCAAAAATAGCTTGCTTAGATTTCTCTCTACAAAAGACAAAAATGAAAATGGGAGTGCAAGTACTCATTAATGACCCAGACAAGCTAGAAGGAATTCGTGCACGTGAAATGGATATCACCAAAGAACGCATCAATAAAATACTTTCCACCGGAGTAAATGTTGTGTTATGCTCAGGTGGTGTTGATGATCTATGCATGAAATACTTTGTTGAGGCTGGTGCCATGGCCGTGCGTCGTGTTAAGAAGAGTGACTTGAAAATTATTGCTAAAGCCACAGGAGCCGCCTTCCTCACTTCGTTGACTAATATGGAAGGGGAAGAGAGCTTTGAAGCATCTATGGTCGGAGAAGCTGCCGAAGTTGCACAAGAGCGAATTTGTGATGATGAACTAATTTTGATTAAAGGCACTAAAGCTAGGTAAGTGTTGAAGAATAATTGTGCTGATTTTGTGTGAAGTCGTTAAATGATTACATTTCGCTAATAGAGCTGCTGCTTCTATTATCTTACGGGGACCTAATGACTTCTACTGTGATGAGATGGAACGATCTATTCATGATGCACTGTGCGTTGTAAAGCGTGTGTTGGAAAGTAAAAAAGTAGTAGCTGGTGGCGGTTGTGTYGAAGCAGCACTTTCAATATATTTGGAAAATTTTGCAACTTCTTTGGTAAATTTAATAATAGGATAGCATTTGAAAACTTTATAAATATAAATTACTTTACAGAGCTCCCGCGAACAATTGGCTATCGCCGAATTTGCAAAATCTCTATTGGTCATTCCAAAAACATTGGCGGTGAATGCTGCTAAGGACGCTACTGACTTGGTTGCAAAGCTACGTGCTTACCACAATTCCAGTCAAACAAAAACTGAACACGCTCAACTTAAGTGGACGGGTTTGGATTTGATTGAAGGTATTGTCCGCGACAACAAGAAGGCTGGTGTTCTAGAACCAGCGATGTCAAAAATAAAATCACTTAAATTTGCTACTGAAGCCGCTATCACCATCTTGCGTATCGATGATATGATCAAACTGAATCCAGAAGAAAAGGGAGGCAAAAACTATGCTGACGCCCATGCCGCTGGGGAGCTCGATGGCTAATTGGCATTCGAACCATTCGTTAGTTTTGGTTCCACTCGTATTGCCTCTTCTACACACTTATAATTTACGTTTACTTTTAAACTTTAATGATAAGGTCAGAACCTGTTTCGATGGTAACAAATGTCACTTTTCAAYCACACACTACATATTAAACAACAGTTACTCTGTTCAGTTCTATTTACTAAAATTTAATTAAATAAATTTTGGACTACAATACCATTTATTTTTCTAATAAAAATTATTTCCGGAAATATACATTAATGCGAATTACTTAAATTTATGGTGGCATATGTATATTCAGCGGCGCGCGCACTTTTCGTACTGGCTAAAAATAGCAATGCAGTGTGGTATTTATAAATAAAGTAAGAAGAAGACAAACATTTTGTCCGAGTTGTAGGAAAACAGCGGATATATTCGCAGGAAAATTTTTGGAGAAATTTAAATAAAATAGCAATATGTCTGAAAACACTGCAGAGTCCATAGAAGATGTTAACAATAATTTGGCTAATGAAAATGTGATTTCACCAGCAGTCCAAGATCAAGAAACCCAGCCACAAAGTAATGAACTTTTGGATATAGTTTTCACATTAGAGAGTGAAAAACAGGCGCTGGTAGAAGAGTCGCGCAAAAGAATTTTCACACTTCGTAAGGAATTAGAGGTTAGAATAATACATTCTTTTTAATACAATTTAATAACAAAATACATTTATTTTGTGAATTGTGAAGCAAAGTCAAACAGAAAATGAACAACTTAAACGTAGGGTAAATCAATTGGAGCAATCGCTCAAACAGTCGGTTATGTTGGGCGGTGTGGATGCTCCCAAGTCACGGCAGGAACAAGATGAGTTATTGCTGAAGGCGAAAACTTTGCTTTTTGAAAAAACTAAAGTTTGTAAACAACAAGAGCAACAAGTTGAGGTGCTCAAGAATCAAGTGGAAGCAATGAAGGATGTTGTACAGGTGACTAAAGATATGTTAAATTTGAAGAGTGCCGAATGTGATCACATGCAAGTGCGTTTGGAGAAATCTCAACAATGGATTAAAGCGGAGAAGGATAAATGTGCCATAACTGAGAAGAAGTTATTAATATCTAAAGGAGTTTATGACAAACTTCGAGCTGAATATGATATACAGTCGAAAATATTTAAGGTACACTAAACGACTTTTGAAAAAAATTCTTCTAATTATAAACTTTTTTTTTTATAGGATTTAAAGGAAGTATATGAACAGAAAATTAAGATGCTCGGAATTGCACTTGAGGAAGCTAAAAAGAAATAGTTTGTTTAAAATAATGTAAGATACAGACTGGTTTAAAATGTACCAAATATATGTGAATGTATAATAATATTAATGTATAACTTACTTCCCCCCAAAATGGTAAAAATATATAGATCGATTGGCATATGAAGAGGTTGTGTTTAAGCTTTTCWTTTATTACTATTTGCAGGCGAATTCGTTCAATACAAGCAAATTTCCGTTAATTTTTTGTCAATATTAAGRAAAATGTTTTGTTATTTATGCACTTTGCTGTTGTTGCATCTGTTTCGAGAGTGCGAGTTGTTTCATCTCCATTACACCTGCAACTGCATTTAGAAATCTACTTTTCTGTATTTGAATCTTTTCAATTTTCTCAATTTGCTCTTGTAAATAATCAACACGTCTCATGAAATAGTCCTTAGAGCTTTCCAAATTCTTTAAAGTTAAAAATTCTGAATTATACTATCAATATATTTTAGACACAAATTTACAAACCTTTTCCACATAATAACCTGTGCCAACATCAATTACAAAGTTATCGAGATCTTTAATGCGTCCAGGTACATACATGCTGCTTGTAAGCGGCACTAATACTTGACGATTTTGCCACTCAGGTTGGAATGATTCCAGTGCCTCCTTCGAGCTAGCGTACTTCGCTTTACAATTGTAAAGAGTTTGTAATGAAGCTTGAATGCTGTTGATTTCCTACAAAAAGTTTTTTTCTTTCAAAAATTTTATATTAGGTATAGCCATATTCGTGGACGCACCTTTTCCATTTCTTGTCTGATTTGCATTAATTGTTCCAAACTTAGCTTTGCTAAATCAATTTGTTCTGTTTTTACATCGCTACTACTCGCCGACATTTTGTATTTGGTTTTATATTAACAAATAAGTGTTTTAAAAGCGAATATCTTAACAAATGTTTCCTTAAATCGCGTGCGAAATAGAGCTTCACACACCTCTATAGATAAATATAATTCGATGAGTTGCAGTTCGAATTGTCGAAATGTCGAATACGRAGGGTTTCCGAATTCCATTACGGAATAAGGGTTTCCAAGTACSAATAATAAAATCACTTTTCCCTGAYATCAAACAATCCAAATTATAYGAAAAACGTCCCTTTTAAAAAGTAAATTTATTTAATTTTGGGAAAGTCGTTTATTTCTTTAAACCGCGAGGTATAATAATAGCAATTAACTTTAAAGTAAAAGGTCATTTAATTTTTAATGGGCTACCCTAACAGCTGTTTTATGTTGTGTAATTTGTCATTGTCAATAAATGTTAGCCGTCTTCCATGTGTAAAAAYCGTATTCCTTCGAGCGATTTGGGAAAATTTTAAGTAAGTCGTACATTTGTTATGGCATGCTCCCGCTCCTGCTTGCGCCTTTTATCAGTCAACACCGTACTTAAAAGAACTRTAAGCATGTCAGCAATGAGACGTGCCCAGGAGGCTTTGGATAAAATGAAAGAGAAAAATCCATATTTCGATAAATACGCAGAGAAAATTGCCAGGCTTCAAAAAACTTCGCCGGAAGAGTTTTTAGAACGTGTGGACAAAGTTGCCAATCCTATTAAGGATGGGAAGAGTCAATCGAGGTAAAAATTTAACTATAAATTGTCAGGAAATTTGCATTAATAGTTCTTTTTTAAAGAACTTATTCCGAACTTCTCAATCCAAAACAACCACGGAAAGATGAGGAAGCCAATGAGATACCCTACAAGAAACTTACAGATATCATGAAGCTTGAACTTGTCGCAGACAAAACAACAGAAGAAATCTCAAGCATTTGGTATGAATACCACAAAACTAAAGATGTGCTGGCGGCCACTTTAACAGTGAATCAGTTTGATACACTTATGCAACGTGCTAAACAATTTCCCATATTTTTGTTGCCACTTCCGCGTAGTGAAGGATTCGAGTTTATTATGTTGCAGTTTGCTGCAAATGCTGTGCATTTCACACCGCTACTAGCCTACCAGGTTAGTGTTGTTTCCTTGTTAATAAATTGCTTGTAGATTTATATTAAATTATATATAATTCATAGGTGCATGCCGAAAACGCGCCAGAGTGCCTAACTATTGTACATTACACTGAAATGAAAGATAAAGATATTGTATTGATGCGAGGCGAATACGACAGCAAAGTCCTGACGGCACAGGAGGCACAATGCTTGGCTAATGAATTACAAATGTTTTATTGTACGAGCGACGAAAACAAGCTAAAGCTACTAGAGACGTTCAACAAAAAGCCAGATGAGTTTAAACACATGGACTTAATTAAGGAGGTTGAAAATATACAGCTAGTTTAAAGTAATCTATAATAAAATGTATAATCCTTAGCAGCAGTTTTTCAAGTTTGTTTCTGTGAAATCTAATAAATCAGCATTAATGCTATAATCGAATCTTGTCTTACTAGCAAATATTTAATTAATATAAGGGTTAAAAAAAAAATCTTTGAGATAGGACTCAAAAAAAAAGTGAATAAGGTTTTGTAATGATTTTAAATAATACTTATCAATTTATAAAAGAAATAAGTTGTAAGTGCAATAATTTTATTACTTGTGACATCATACACACATTAAAAAAAWTACTATTTTTGATACTTTTAAAAAATATTGTCCCAATTTTCGATTATTTTTATTTTTCTGCTACTCGCGTGTGTGACATTGGAGAGTACTGTGCCTAATTTGTTTTGCTAATAACCTTTTGATTTGTCAATTTTGAAATGTTTAATTTTTAGTCATTACCTGAAAATTCATATGTCTGCATTACCGTACGGCACGCACTTTGATGATGTTATGGTTATAATAGGTAAATCGCCCGTTTGGTTTTGCTTTCATAAAATGCAATATGTATGTATATGTATATGTATGTATGTCGAACAAAGATGAACAATGAAATTATATAGACATTTCACACAGGCTTCGGTAAGGGGCATTTGCAACTTTTGGTCACATGTGGGTTGCTGCTAATGTTCACAATTACCGAAACAATGGGCATGGCTATCATAGCACCAAAGAGCGCATGCGAATTCGCTAGTTCGGAGCAAGCAAAAGCGGCTATACAGGCGGCAGCATATATCGGTAACAACTATAGCATAAACCGCGTTCGCAGATATGTTTATGTAGTTTATGCCTCTATCTTCCCATAGGCATGATCTTTTCATCCTACATATGGGGTTATTTCTGCGACAAAATCGGAAGGCGAACGGTGCTTGTGCGCAGTACCGCAATGGCCATCGTTTGCTCGTTTTCATCCATGTTAATAACAAATTTTTGGCTTTTTCTCACTCTTCGCTTTATGACTGGCATATGGTAATTAAATTAAATTGATAATGTTGATCTGCTTTCTAATATCTTTTCGCTTATGTTTAAAGTGTGGCTGGCCCTGGTTTCGCGGCGCTTACATATCTCGGGGAATTTTGTACATCGAGAAATCGCGCTTCTATCATTAACTATATGTGCATGTTCAATGGCATTGCTATGGTCTATTGTCCAGGTATTTAAAAATCTTTATATACACAGTTATTGTTAAACATATACAAGCATATTTTATACTGGAATTTTATTACCCGTAGGACTTTCCCAGTTAATGGTGAATTGGAATTTGTATATACCCATAATCGGTAATTTGATAATACGCTCTTGGCGCGTACTTGGGTTGCTATTTTCAGTGCCTGGATGGATTAGTTTCTTATTGCTTTTGCGGCTGCCAGAAAGTCCGAAATTTCTGCTCTTGGTTAATAAAAACGAAGAATGCTCAGAAGTGTTAAATTGGCTGTGTCTGCTTAACAATGGAAAGACTTTACAGGACTTTGGAATTGCTAATATGAGACCATTATTAAAATCAGGAATGACCCCAGCACCAAAGTATGTATATCACATACCTTATATTCTTGTCTTTAACTCATTACTGTCACTTCTTGAAGTTTGTTTCGGGCAATGGCCAAGGAGGTTGTACCTTTATTCCGCCATCCTTATGYGAAACGATTCTTGCTCAGCTGCGTTGTTATGTTCGGACTGTTGCTCGTGTAAGTGTAAGAGTCAAGGAAAAATATACATATGTATATGTATATATGATGATTTTGTGTTTGAAAATATTCGTTTAGTGCCAATGGTGTTGCGATCTGGTTCACAGACATAAGAAACCATACTCTGACTTGGGAACAAGAGCATAAAAATAAGAGCCACGAAATGGAATTTTCGCTTTGCGAGGCGATAATCCATAATAAAAAAGTAGCCAAGGAGACAATGGTTTGATTTTGGTCTTTTTATTAAGTATATTTATTTAGCTTTACATATTACATGCATTTAACTATAGAAGGTGAGTGGAAATAAGGACGTTTAAGCTCTGAGTAAGCACATGCAAAAAAATTGGAGTATTCAATTTTCTCCAAAAGATCGAATATATAGTTTATTCCAGTTATCCGATATGTATGTAAATGCGCTCGTTGTTTTTTGTCGATAATTTCTTCCATTTGGAGTGTACTTCGTTATAAAACAAGTAGTGAAACCTTAGGCAAACGTTTTCTTAATCTGTTCCCTTGAAAAATTTTCTCAGCTCGTTTAAACTGGATTTCAGTGTACTTATATTAGTTTAAAAAAAATTTCAAGTAATCCCAGGGAATACCTTGTATTGTACTAATATCTAATAGCCAGTTTTTAGACCAKTTATMARTATTTCGAAAAAGTTGAATTATTTYATCTTTATTGCTTCTAGGTATGTAGCGACGATATTTTGTCTTTTTGGGACTCCATATTTTTGGGTGYTTCATATCTAATTGAATACCTTTGCTTTGGTCTAATATTGTTGGTCSTTCCGAGAAAGCCCATATTTTGCATAGCACTAATGATATCAGGAATCAGCGGCATTTGCCTCCCGTTTGTGTCCAGTTTGAATATAATACCTCCCACCTTTATTCTCTTCCTTTCAATACCGGCGGTAATGACTAATCTAATGAACAGCGCGGTACTGGAATTCATACCTACTTTTGTAAGGTGACTTTCTCGTGATTTTATTTGCACATACTTTTTTAAATTTAATTAATAATTTGAAATATTTTTATGTAGAGGTAAGGCGGTTTGCATCTGCTTGATATTCGGCCGCTTTGGCGCAGTTTTTGGCACAACCATTATGGCTCAACTGATTGAGAGCTTTTGTTTCGAAGCCTTCATGCTGTTCTCGTGCTTTCCATTCGGTGAATAACGTTGTTTTAAGAGTTTTAGTTTGTTTGAATAATGGAATTTCTTGTCACTTGCAGTTTGTGCGTTATGCGGATACTTTCTGCCTTTGGATGAACACTTTTTTTAAAGCTTTATATATGGCACAACTATGCTGCAAGCAAGATAAATATTGTCTAAAGAGATTGTTAAAAATTGAGACATTTTGATTTCATCTTAAATTGTCATCAAAAAGTTGTGGTCTTTTTATTTGTATTTATTTCAAGTACTCAAGCTTTGTTTTCTTGATCGCATTTGCTTTTAAAATTGTGTGTTACTCATACGCTCCGCATGACCCACATTTGATACTGTATAAAACTGACTCGTATTAAAAAAAGTAGTTTGAATTAAGGGCTTTGTTTTGTTTTTGTTTTGAAATATCTAAAAGCTCAATTAAGAATAATTTTCAAATTTCTCATACCAAATTCCGTATTGAAAATAAATATAAATTAATGCAAAATTTTAGAACGACAAAAAATGTTTTAGAACATTTTTGCGCGCTTGCGTACTTCCTGTTCTACCATTTTGATGAATGCTCCGCAAACCACCAATGAAATTTGTTTTAAGTTTACGGAGACGATGTTGTTAAAGTTCGTGTAGCACAACAWTGGTTCGCTCGCTTCCGTTGTGGTAATTTTGAAGTGAAAGAYGCACCTCGTTCTGGTCGATCYATCSTTGAAAATATCGATGAAATTGTGGAAAACATKGATCAGGACCGTCACAAAAGTAGCCATGKCATCRCTAAGGTACTTRACATTYATCCTCAAAYGGTTTTGAACCATTTAAAAAAGGTTGGCTACAAAGCAAAGCTCGATGTTTGAATTGTCTGTGAAAAATTTAATGGACCGAATTAACATCTGCGATTCTTTGCTGAAACGAAATGAAATCGAACAATTTCTGAAGCACAGAAGCACAGAAGACAAAAAGTGGATCGAAATATGACAATAATGTACAAAAAAGATCATGGCTCAAGCGTGGTGAAGCTCAACAAATGGTCACAAGGCCAGGATTGACGCCTCGAAAGGTTATGCTGACTGCGTGGTGGAATTGTAAAGGAAACATCCACTATGAGCTGCTACAACCTGGACGAACGATTGACTCTACATTTTACTGTCAACAACTGATAAGATTGAAGCAAACAATCGAAAAAAAAAACGGCCAGAACTAACCAAGAGAAAGGACTTCGTCTAACATGACGACAGCGCTAGACCACACACATCTTTGATGACTCGCCAAAAACTGGAAGAGCTTGGCTGGAAAGTTTTGCTGCATCCACTTTATAGCTCAGACCATGCACCATTGGACTGCCATTTGTTTCGGTCAACGCAGAAGCCTGTGAAMATTACTTGTCGCAGTTTTTCGGCGAGAAACCAGAAACKTTTTACACTGAYGGARTAATATATCTAGCGAAAAATGGCAAAAAGTGGTCGASTGATTTATTATAAATATAAGAAAAATAAGTTGATGCATCATAGTACTACGAGCCTCATTCACTCCAAATTGATAAATACAAACAAACCATTCACTATTGATATGCTTTTCAGCGCGGTCACTTTTGGAGAGCACTGTATCATGCACAAGATCCAAGAGTTCGCTGATATTGCTAAAACTCTCTAAATATGCGGTTCTTCAAAAGTCATCAAAGTGCCTCAATTGCCAAAGAGATATACCTTTATCGATGCGAAATCTGTTGTACGTTTGCGAACATCTCGAAGAGTTTAAGTCTGACATACAAACATACGAGTCTACATAGAGRCGCTTGTTCAGTTGTCGGAAATTTTTGATAAGAATTAAATGTGTGCGCCACGCAAAGTGAATAGGCGGCATGAACAGGTGCTAAGTCAATATGAAGCTTGCGGTTCAGTTATAAATTGGCAGTCGGTGACTGCGGCAACGATAACGGTTACGACAATTCAAGTGATACTTAATTTAGTTGCAATCTAATAAGTGTGTGAATTGCTTGAGGTTATACAAAACAWAAGGAAGTGCAGATTTCAGAAGTCCTTTCATAGAAATGGCGCCACATAACAATTTCAGTGACATAAAATTAGCCATTGAACCGAATTCCCACAARAACGTTGCGCCCAGCGTGGAAAATATCGAAAACTCCTCAAGTGCGCGAAATGCCAAGGAAATTAGTGCGCCTAGCACTTCGCAGGACACACAACCCCTGCAGCATGACTATGACACTGTGCTTGATATAATAGGTGCGAAGTTGAGCCGCGTAGTAGTGACTTTCATTTTCAAAATTTCTACCTTTTCTCTCCCCACAAGGATATGGCCGTACGCAATGGCTAATGCTGATCACCAGCGGTTTGCTCTTGATGATGGTCATCAACGAGACAATGGGCATGAGTATTGTAACGATTGCCTCTCAGTGCGATTTCGCAACAACATCGGGGGATAAGGCTATCATGAGCGCCGCTTCATTTGCGGGTATGTATGTACCTAATTCATACATATAAACTTTCATGAATCGAAAGGCAAGGATTTGTATAACACTTAGTACCGAACAATAGCCAATGCAACTTTTTTTCTGTGGGCTTCTACTGAAAATTTCAGTAGAATTTCTACTGAAATTTTCATCATGGATATTAAGTTTTGGAAGCAGCAGAACTATCATTCACCGAATTTGGGTGTCAAGGTTTTAGCGTTATTTTTGACAATAATCCATGCCAAATTTTTTGAAGASACATATGTATAATAATTGTGAGCCTTCGATGGTTTGGCGTATTTTTAAAAAAATATTATTTCCTACCAGTAGATCTCATGTCAGATATGAATAAGGAGGTAAAACRTTTAAAATTTTACAAGGTAGAATAATCAGCTTGCGTCATAAAGTTACTTGAATTCTTTCGTTGCCAAAAATAAAGCTATTTCAACATTTGGATGTTATATTGAGAAAAACATTCGATAAATTCGTCATATTCACACATGGAGCTGTCTCACATTTTTTGTTTTGTATAATAGCCCAAGTTCATAYTAGCACTGCATGTACATATGTATGTACATATATGTGTACAATAGACATATCTACATAGTAATTATCAAGCAGCATGCATAAATCTTATTAATTGCACATACACACACTTACACACAGGTTGCGGAACTTGCTTTGAGTTTTCAGAAATTGTGTTAAGAAAATTAAATACCCCAAATTTATACCTTTTGAGGCTTAGTACAGACACTTCATGTAAATATAGTTTGTTAGGGAATAATATAACGGTAATGCAGGCATTCCCGAAGACCTACACATATTTTCGTAAAGTTTACTTATTTAAAACAAAAATTTATAAGAATTTGTGTGTGCAAGCAGCGGTGAATTTGATTTTTCACTTGTTTTGTAACAGTTTTCATCGGCGGCGACGTGATTACGTTCGTTTACGAGCAGTATTTCACCTATCGGGTTGAATCTTAATTAAAATCTTTCGGTACATCTTTTCACTTGGACTGCTTTGTATCACTTTAGAAACATATCAGCTGTGCATTGATATGTCACACACCTATTTTGACGTGTGTTGCTGTTTACAAAGTTTGTTTTCGTCAAATGTCGGAAGCGGACACGATATTAAAGGAACACTGTATGTGTGTTATGCGCAGTTACTTGCAAATATAGAGTACAATGATTAAAGTTTCAGCCTATCCCAACAGTGACACATTTGCATATACATACATATCGTCGCCTGATATGCAAAATAACATAACAACATTTTCTTAAATTTACAGTGGCATGAATGGAACACGAAAAAAATGGAACACGTGTGAAAAAAAATTTTAATATTGGTTAAAATTGGTTTATATCTGAGCGCAGAGCTTGAAAATGTTGAACATACATATGTAATATTATGTACGTAATTTGAAGTAGTGAAGCGTAATCAGTAAGACACTTAATTTCGAATTTTTTTGATGATACGTTATTTTGCATTTCAGCTGACTTTATAATATATACAACAAGTAAGGAATGGCTAAGTTTGGGTGACACTGAAAATTTCATATTTTGCAACTTGCAAAGATCAAAAACGGGTGTAACTCACGTATTGGCGGTTATATGTGGCATAAAGTCATATGTCATATGTTACGTGCGTCCACATAATCGGTATGTGGGGCTTGTATAGTTTTGGTGCGACTTTAACTTTKAGACGTGAGATGGATAAATACACTATCTGTGCAAAGATTTATTGCGATATATCCGTATAACTTTGATTTATATACTGAAAAGTGAARGAATCAGAAGGGATTTAAAATTGGATTATATGCAAAGTAGGCGTGGTTGTAGTTCAATTTATACCATTTTYGCACTGTAATATTGGACTGCAATTATAATGTTATGTAGATCATCCAATATTTACACCTGCTTCTATAAAAACTACTAGTACCATCCTGGTAGTCTTCTGTTCCTCCRTTCCAGATTATTTATTTATATAACTTTGTGTCTAACTCGATTAGTTTTASATGAAACGATCAACCGTTAGGTGAAAATACTATTTTCATGTGGCACYCATTTTCAAATAACTTTCTAATGATCTGAAATTGTTTGCTGTGCAACATTTAAAATGGCTGCGATTTGCTTTTGACCCAAAGTATCATCTTCATCCAATATTTGCTTGCAGTTCGGCGTCTTCAAACATTTTGGTGGTCGTGCACGTTCTTSACTTCTCACATCAAAATCATAATCATTGAACAGTTAAACCTCTTTTGCATWTTGCTTCTGATAGAGCATGATCGCCATATGCGTCGACAAGCATTCTATGGTACTCTGCAGCACTTTTCTTCAAATAGAAAGAAAACATTAATGTTTTCGGCAAATCATTATTTTTCGGTACAAAATTTTTCATTTTCACCACAAAGAATGTGGTATGTTTGACAAATGCCAAACAGAAAAAAAATTACAACAAACACATATGTATCTTATACTGGTATACTTCGTAGCATGATGTTGCAAAAGTATAAAAATATTTACTTACATATGTACTATATATGTATGAATGAAAACTTCCATAAGCCTTTGATAACACTCTTATTCAATGTGTCATCAACAAGTAATCGAGTATTGGAATTACTGGTCTGCAGCGGCTTACGATCTAAATTCATTGTATCATCATTGTTGATTATAAAATTGATTTAAAAGTTATTATTTCAAGTGGTTAACAAGTAGAATTAAATATATCACAATAAGTGCTGATAAAGCTGGTCACGTATAAAGAAATCAAAATCACTGTAAAATAACTAAGATCAACGCAGAGGAAGTACTTTGAAGTGTTGGGAAAGCCTTTTATTAAACTGAACAAGTAAGTAAGGAAGATCTCGGTTCAGGTGGAACCAAATATCTTATATTCTTTGCGATCAACGCTGAGGACAGAAGTCGCTAATATTCATAGATAATAACAAATATCGTTGACAATGTTTGCGTAGTTCCTGAGAAATACGATTTACTAAAAGCGCACTGCCTTGCCCACAGTGCATTTTTAACATTGAGTTCTATGTATATCTCATCGTTCCATCGAATGCGATACTCACCATTACCAATGCAGAAAGGACATAAATCTTCCGCAGAACATTCCTCTCGAAAACTCGTAAAGTCGACTCATCAGACGTTGTCACCGTCCAGGCCTTTGTTCATCGAGAGAGGACTTTACTTTTCAAGGCTTACAAATATCAAAATAAACTTAGAATGAAAGATTTCTCAGCTCAAATAAGGTCTTTATTTTCCCCCCACCAGCGGTAAGAAGTTAAGGATTATTATTTGAGTATAAAGTTTTATCATACAATTCAAACACCTAACCTAAGAACTAACGGCGCGGATGTTGAGACCGATAATATTAATATCGACAGTTTTGGTTCGATGTGGATAGTGTTCGGTCATAAGGTGGCATAATCTAAAGGCACTATTCGTGAGAATTTGTACTAATTGATTCTTGCTTTGTATACTGGAAAGTGAATGAATCAAAAGGAATTTAAAATTGTGTTATAATGTTAAGTAGGCGTGATTATAGTCCGATTTTTTATGTAATTTTACTTAAAAGTGGCCACGTCCAATTTTGACATCGGCCCATATAAAGCCTTCTCATACCAACTCGATGGCTCTGTCGTATGTAATTACTGATTTACCGGCTTTTAGTTGTTATAAACTACTCCATACAGTTATTTCATTAATTTTCACAAATTCATGGTAAACTTTGATTTCTGACCATCTTAAACGAGGTTTTTCGGGATTGGCTCATTTTTGAACCACCATTCGTGAGACTGTTGTACAGCTTCTACGTCATATTTAGTTGCTGACTGCTCCAAAAAAGCCTGAAAGCGATGCATTTTCATTTTAAAATTTTTGGAAGGAAGAAGAGGAAGAAGAAGTTTTAGTCTCTTTAATGATATGCTGGAACAGTAGAGTATCGTTCGATCCAAATAAAAATTCTAACCTCTTTTTAAACACGTACTAATTTCAAATATATTTATTCGTATTCATATTCGTCCTCAGGAATAGTGCTGTTTTCATACGTTTGGGGCTATCTAAGTGACGCCACAGGACGTCGGCGTATATTGCTCTTTGCAACTTTCGGCGGATCTTTGTGCGCGCTGATATCGATGTTCATGCCCAGCTTTTGGTATTTCGTATTCATGCGCTTCGTGGTGGGATGTTTGTAAGTATTAGTTATAAAACTACAAAAGTAAATCATGTTCATTTTTAATAATTTTTAATTATCCACTCAAAGCATTGCTGGACCTTCCTCCACGATATACGCATTTTTAGGTGAATTTCATGCGCGTCGCCACAATGCCCTTGCAATGAACTATGCTAGTTTGTTTGTGGGCTTAGGGATGACATATGTGCCTGGTAAGTCCAAGGCTTATTGGTACTCACWATACTAGTTTTTACAAAAGAGTTTTAATATGAACAGCAATCGCTTGGTTGGTGCTTTCCATGGATTGGTCACTTCAGTTGAGCGATAGCTTTGCGTTTCGTCCGTGGCGGCTTATGATGATCGTCAATCTGTTGCCGGGTCTAATAGCTGCTTGCATATTATTAATGCTACCGGAAAGTCCTAAGCTGCTTTTATCATTGCATAAAGATGAAGAAGCTTTAGCAGCAGCAAATTGGATTTGTAAATGTAACACTGGCAAAGATTTGAAGCAGTTAGGCGTTAAGAAACTGAAGCCCGAAAGAACAATGGTTGATAAGGTGCATATTACGAGCAAGTCGTGGTAAGATGAATTGGCTACGAAAGCGCAATGCTTTAACATCCAGTTATGTCTATTATTATATGGCTTCTTATCAGCTTTCAGACTGTTAAGCACATCTGGCAGGAGACTCGCCCATTAGTACATCGCCCATACGTTCTAAATTTTTTGCTTAGCTGTGTCACTATGTGCGGCCTATTTTTCAGGTAGAAATACAATTTCAGTTGTAAAATTAAAAATGTAGTTTCAATGTTAATTATTTTCATCATTTTTGCGGCCTAGTTAGAACCCAAAARTAAATATACATTTCATTCTTTTTCTAGTTCTAATGGCATGGGTCTGTGGTTTCCAGAAATTCAAAATAGACTTAGCATGACTACAGCTGAAAATCCTGAAACAATTTGTCAAATTATTATTAACACATTAAATGATAGAAATGATCTTACAAATACTTCGAAGGTAAATATTTACTCAAGAATTTAGGTTAGACTTCTAAACTGTGTATGAGACTCTGTGCGTAAATTCAAACTGGAATTATCGGTTATCCATTCATGTATTTTTTCAGGTATGCGTCGATGAGATCAGCGATAAAAGCTATATTGACTCGATTTCCATGGGCCTATGCTACGTGGTGGGCTATCTTCTGATAGGTGGGATCATAAAATTATTTGGACGCAAAGCAACAGTTATTGGATCTTTGCTCCTCAGCACGGTCTGCGGTGTCACGCTGTTTTGGCTGCGCAACCCGACTGCTATCGTTGTATCGTTTATTGTGTTCCTCACATTGCCAGGCCTGTGTATATCCCTGCTGGGTAGTGGTGTGGTGGAACTAGTGCCTACTCATTTGTGGTAGGTGAAACTCCTCTTGCGTGTTAGCACAGCATACTATATAAATAAATAATAACTATTTTTCTACAGTGGCAAAGCAGTTTGCATTTGCTTATTGCTCGGCCGATCGGGCAGCATTTTCGGCAGCCACCTTATCGGTGTACTGCTGGAGTCCAATTGCTATTTGACATTTGGCATTTTCACTGGCTACGTTTTGGGTAAGTGCCTTTTCTTATGAGACATTAACCTCGTACGATCATGAACAATTAAAATAGATGATTGCCTTTCAGTTCTCACTTTTAACTCTCTACACAAACTTGTAAATAATTTTGCTTTCATTTTCATTTCCAGTTTGCATGCTGCTTACAATGACCCTGCCCATTTGAGCGCGCTAAACAGTTTAAGCGATTGYTTATTAAAGCCAGTGATGTGGGCGTAGCTGCATTCACCGTATCTCTGATACATTCTGATCTAGTAGTGAATTTTTTTTAGGAAAATCGTTACTTAGTCGCTTAGTAATTTAATGTCAACTTGTTATATGCATTGCTCAATTGTAATGTGTTGTAACAGCATTTAATCGATAAGTTGTTGAAGTTATTTTGCACAGCTGCCCTTATGTAAATATTTTGAACTCAACCAGCTTTTGCTGTGTGCCTTGTAGGAAAATGTTGCATGCAGCTGTTTTGGCAATATTTTTTAACTAAAGTAGAATTACTGGTTTTTATAGCTTTATGCCAGTAGGTATATCATGCACTATATTATCACTAGTTTTTTAAGAATCAACTGTATTTACATACTCATTGTTGTTGTTGYATGAGTAAATTTTTCAAGCTAAAATAAAATTTTATTAAAGGAAATGTTAAAGTTGTATTACTCTRCGGAACTATTTGCCAAAAGTCAATGCAATTATGGAAATGATTGACTAGGACCGTCATATCTTTACGGAACTTAACATTCATCATCAAACAGTTTAGAACCATTCAAAAAAGGCGGACTACAAAAAAGAAGCTGTCTGMGTACCACATGAATTGTTTGTGAAAAAATTATTGRAACGATTAACATTTGCGATTCCTTGCTGAAACGAAATGAAATCGAACCATTTCTGAAGTGAATAGTAACAGAAGACGAGAAGTGGATCAAATACGACAATAATGTGCGAAAAAGATCATGGTCCAAGCGAGGTGAAGCTCAAAAAAAGGTTGCAAAACCAGGATTGACGCCTCGAAGGGATATGATGAGTGTTTGTTGGGGTTGGAAAGAAATCAATCATTAAGATCTGCTCCAGCCTGGTCGAACGATTGATTCTACATTTTGCTTTTAACAACTGATGAGATTGAAGTAASCAATCGGAAAAAACGGCCAGAACTGATCAACAGAAATTGTTTCGCTTTCTATTAGGACAACGCTAGACCAAGCACACTTTTGATGACTCGCTGGCAAAAAATTGGAGACTCGGAAGTTTTGATGCATCCACCATATAGCCCTGATCTTGCACCATTGGACTACCATTTCTTTTAGTCAATGAAGAACTCCCTTAATGGACTAAAGTTGGCTTCAAGATAAGCCTGTGAAAAATTACTTATCGGTTTTTCGCCGAGAAACCAGAAAAGTATTACACTGATAGAATAATGTCTCTAGCGGAAAAATGGCAAAAAGTGGTCGACCAACATGGCACATACTCGTATTTGATTCATTAAAGTTCAGTATAAATACAAAAAAAAAAAAGGCAGTTGTAGACTGATTAGAAATGCGAAAAGACTTTTTCGACTACACAATATTTCATTTGAAGTTTTGAATTTGAATTTGTTAATTTCGGTCGTATCTCAGGGGATTCATCAAAAATATCCATAAGGGAAAGGACAATATTTAAATTTTTCATATTTTATTTTTTTTTCCGAAATCTCTCACAAACTTTCACATAACATAATATGTTATGATTGTCAATGAATCAATTGAAATCTTAAAATATTATTGAAATTTGATGAATTATTCCGCCAGAGCRAACAAAAATAAAGTCCTGTTTCTATAGAAAAAGGGAAATACCCTTGCCGATCGTTTTCCCAAACAAATATTCTTATATAAGTTTAATATCCACGTAACCATGTTGAGTTTAAAGTGCCAAATCTCTTCAAACGAATTATATATGCACAGATTTATGTATATCTAAGCTCCGCTTCTTAATTCTTAATCCGTTYAAATTCCACTAATGCTTTTATTGTTTAACTCGCACTTGAGTTAATATAGTACTTGTATATTCCTTGAGCGGATATTAGCGCGCACATACACACGTGCATACGTGTGAGGTTACAAAATCATCAATTAATTTTAATGTATTTACAACAAATACTTAACTGAACAAGCGTTTAACAAGGTGTATGAGTTAATTTGAAATGACAATGTGGTTAATTTGTAAATAATGAATATGGAGAATAGGGTAAAACAAAAATAGAAGTAAGACAAGAAATCATATCCATCGATATTCAGGAAATTTTAAGGAATACTAGTGTTTTTTCTGTATGAACCCGAGATTATCAAGCGGTGGGCTAATTGGTCTCTCTATAGATAAGGACAACATTTGAAAGTTCTAAAGTACATAGTTACATACTTGTACATAGAAACTTGTATTACCTTGGACAAAAGATAGTAAGCCTTTATAATTTAAATTTCGCGCGAAAAAAACATTCGTCGAAATATTTTTTTCTAGGTTGGTATGACGGAATTCGGCGATATTTTAATTTGTATAAATTATTAAATAAGACGATCGAGAGCGCGTTGACGACGAACCACGTCCAGTGCGGACATCAGCATTAACTGATGATAAACTTGTCAATTAACAATTGTTAACAGTCAGAGATCTTATTGGCATCGTTGGAATATCGGAAGGATCAGTGAAAAGCATTTTGAAAGATCATTGGGGCCTAAGAAAAGTGAAAGCACGATATTTCCGAAAAACTGCACTACGTTAACGTCGACGAAACAATGCTTTCCCACTACCAGGATGTCAAGAAACGTATTATTACTCGCGATAAGTATTGAATTTATGTTTACGACTCATAAACAGATGAACAAATGGAAGAATATAGTGGCAAAGGCGAGTCGGAGCCAAAAGAACCACGACAAAGCTGGTCGAAAATCAAGGTAGTGTTTACAATTTTTTTCGATTATCGGCCAAACTGTCAACAAGGAATCCTATGTGAGTGTTATCCGTCRACTGCGCCAAGTTCTTYGCAAAAAGAGGCTGGAATTATGAGTCGTCAACTTTTGGTTGGACGACGACAATGCCCTATCGCATATTGCATTGATTCTCCGTGAGTTTTTCGCCAAATTTTCAAACAATATYGTGCCGCAACCACTGTATTCGATTCTTTTATCTCCGTGTGACTTCTGGATATTCAGCAAACTCAAAAGATCGCTCCAACGAAAACATTTTGAGTAAATTGAAAGCATTAAAGGTGATCCGCTATGCGTATTGAAGGCTATTCGGGAAATAGACTTTAAAACTCTTTCGAGGATTGGAAAACACAAGTGTATTGTGGCCAAAGGATATTACTTTGATGGGGACGACTTAGATTTTGAGAAACAAATTAAGAGTTTTAAAATTATGAACAAAGCCTTACTATTTTTTGCATATAGCAGTATTTAAATAAACGAATAAGAYTCTAATATAATTTATAGACTATATWTTCCCGCCTTGTTTTGAGACTATCACCTGGTGACACACCTAGAGTACGTACCGGTTATACTCGTGTAACACACTTCTGATTCCTGACTAATGAAAAATATTTTAGCTATTTTATATAATAATATATGATAATTCTTACATAATTTAATTGTATCTAAAATCTATACAATTTGCCACACTGTAGCTGGGATTCTCGTTAAATTAGGAGTCACTGCACGAATACGTCATAAATGAGCCTCCAACAACCGTCGGAACGCAGCCAAAAAAAAAAAAAMAAAAAAAAAACAACCAGACGTAAATTAAAATCTTGTGAGGAAAAATATATTAATAAAATCGTTACAATTAATTGCACACACATGTGTGCATAACAGAACAGGTGACCTCCCATGCAAATTTTATAGAATCTCAACTGTTAAGCAAAACCGGATTATTACTCAGAACAGCTACATATGTTGTATGATGGCTTACCACACCAACCAACTAGCATAATGTTTAACAACATACTATTCAAACCTGTATGCATGTATGTTTGTACGATGRTGTCTGACAGATCATATGAATAATTGAGCTTTTGTTTACAAACAAACAATTGAGATAACATTCAGATGGAAATAAAAAACACACACGCTCACGCTTTCCTCAATCTTAATGTTGCAAAGCGTATAGAARTCTCGCTTGAAAGGCAGCATTATTAGAACGCTGGCGCTTGCTAGCTAGTGTCTAGTTATAAATTCATAACTTAGATGAAAACTTGTATTGTAAATAATTAATATTAAATTCACGATTGYGGCAGTCAATGCAAATCACCATAAGCGTGTAAAAATCATTCAACGAAGGAGTGTTGCTGGCGACAGTGGATTTCAGTAATAATTGAACTCTGGCCGTGGCCAGACTGGATCGTGGTAATTTCCAAGTAATTTTATCAGTTAGCGCAAAATGCAATTCTCGGATAGCAAGAACGAAGGCCGCCAAGCTATCGGAGTAGGCATTTCAGATGCGGCCAACCGAGCTGCGCTGGCGGGYGTCGGTGCGTTTAACGAATTCGACTATGAATATGTGTTGGCGCGCATTGGTACGTCCTGAGTTGTCATATTTCTGTGCCAAGATTAACAGGCAAAGTGCGAAATTCGTTAGAAATAAGAGTTTTTTTTTCATTTTGTCTTTTACCATTAAAAACGTATAAAAATTGAAACAGCTCACAGGTTCTAAGAATTAAAAGTTGAAAATTTTATGTGGAACTAAATGGTAAAGGTGTTATCTACTTTAACTCGCTATTAATGTCTTCGAAAATAGATTAAAAAAAATATAAYAATAATTAAAATATCCAAACTTGGAAACTAGTTTTTTGAAAGCAAAAGTGTGATTGAGCAGCGTCCGAACTATGTGTGTATCTTTCTTTAGATTACMACTGCTCAAAGAAAATACAATACAATATTGGTGGTAATTTTTGTGTTTAAATCATAAATAGGTGATAAAAGGTGATAATAAATTATATTACAATTATGAAACTAACTGTTAAYCATGAAAAACTGTACTGAATTCATSTGTTTCGCAATCGATAATATAACCTGTTTTTACCTGAACTAAAGTTATATCAAATGCTCTACGAATCGTGACGGAATTAACGGATTTTTTCATGCGCAGTGATTTAATATTTTTTGAAAAATAACTTCATTTCAATTCGTTTTTCAAAAATATTAATTTATTTTTAATGTTGTGTTTTAAATATTTTTTTGATCTATGTATGTGGAGTTTGAGGCATATAAAAGTAAAATTAATTTGGTTGATTCTTAAAAGAAACTTACTTCAAATGAGAATTGTGCATTTTGTAGGGAATATACAGGCATAGATACATAAATAATAGCACACTTGGTCAACAAAAAAAAAAAAAAAAAAAAAAAAAAAAAAAAAAAAAAAAAAAAAAAAAAAAAAAAAAAAAAAAAAAAAAAAATAAAAATAAAAAAAGCCTTATTTATTCTTTGCGGATTTAAAGAGGCTTGTGTTTAATTTCAAAAATTCATTTTTATTATACTTAAACAATAAATGAATATATATTCTATTATCGTGAAAAAGACGAAAACATCAATATCCCATATGGCAGCTAGGACACATAAACACACACAATCTGAAAAAGGTTTACAAAAAGATACAACAACTTATAAACATGACTAAACATTGCATACGATTGTTCACTTCGTTAGTATTCGGTACTTTAACAATCACTTTTTTAATCACCTCTTCACATCTTCGCTGCATGATGTCTACCAGTTTTTGACTCCGTTCTTTTGGGATTGATTACCTCCTCCTTTATCTTAGTTTCGGCACTCCAAAGCACGTTCCTTCCAAATTGTGCTGGTTTGACTCTGTGAGCCTTTGCAAATGTCAGTGGAATCTGCTGTTAGGTTGTTCACTTAGTTAGAAAAACCAAGTGGAGAAGGACCTCGCTTCGCTTGCAATCTCCAACTGGCTATAAGGCTGTTGTAAAATCGGCTATAAGGGCGTAAGAGGTGTTAAGCTTTGTTGGGTCGTTTTCCTGTAAGCATGTTGAACACGTCCACACCATATTCGTCATTAACTGATCTCATAACTTCTATGGCTAAATTAAATGGATTGACTTTGCTCTTCCGTACTATTGTTTTTTTAACACTACTATCGGTTTTCCGTGGTCTTGGTCTTCTTGGCATCTTTTTGTTGATACAAGATGGGTATTTTTTCCATCGTGCAATGYTTTCCCCTTCCCAATGTAGGGAAATATTGACGCGAACTTAAAAACGTGCTATTTATGTGGCCACTTCAAATCAACACTATACGCAATAAAAGTGACGGGTACAAAATKTAAAAGAATTAAATGGTGTTTTTGACCAGCGAAATGTGTTTCACAGCGGTAGCTAGTAGAACATACCACATTTTTATTGTTCAGCTACTTTATGATTACAGGTTTTTGAAGTAATATTGGATTCGTATTTGTGCTATTTACATGTCCATGGCTTTATATAGACTGTATTCATTGAGCTTTCAAAGTGTTCAGAGGAAAACGAACTATCCTCTTTCGAAAAGTGGTGATTTAGTCTTGATCTTTGCTTTCGAACCAAAAACCCTTATAAGACTTGTGCATTTTCTCTAAATCACTACTTCACACCTTTTACAATTTCAGATTTTTATTAAGATATAAGTTCGTTCGCTAATTCCTGCAAGAGTGTGAAAAGATTCGAGTTTGGTGGGTTAAGTAAACACGGTTACCTTATTCATGCCCCGTAGAACATACATACGTAATTTACAGCAACAGTATAGTAATTTTAAAATTTTAAAACTGTTCTTACGATATAATCTTTTTTATAATTAAGTTGTATTTGCAACAAATAGGCAAAATAAAGATAAACTAATTTCATAACATTCACTACGTTAGGTTTCGGCAAGGCGCAATGGTTACTATTGCTCATCTCCGGCCTTTTGACGCTCTGCTCTATGGCCACGCAAACTTCGGTGGGCATCATGGCCATAGCGTCACAATGCGAGTTCGGCATGAGCCAAGCGGAAAAGGGTATAATGATGGCGGCGTGTGTAACGGGCATTTTTCTATCTACATACTTCTGGGGTTATGCCAGTGATGCTTTCGGACGACGTTCAGTGCTCTTCTACGGCATTGTCGTCACAAATCTGCTCCAGTTTATCTCSATGTTCATAACAAACATATGGGTCTTCAACATAGTCAATTTATTCATGGGCATAAGGCATGTATAGGCGGCTTTTCCATTAATTTTGCCCACTTTAAATKGCGATAATTTTTTATTTACAGCTTAGGTGGCGTCTCCGCTGCCATTTATGCATACCTCAGCGAGTTCAACACTGACAAACATCGCGCTGTAGTAATTAACTATTCCACAATGTTCGTAAGCATCGCTGCAATCTACATGCCTGGTGAGTATTTACATACAATATTACACATACATAAGTATATTAACATAAAGTATATGTTATCGAGTTAATATAATTTATATTTAAATATAATATTTAATGCGTTGTTGATATTTAAGCAGGTTTTCGCAAAAAATTAGTTGGAGTTGTTTTAATGATTAATATCACTACGATTAATTAATGTAAATGTGGGGTTTGTACAAGGGCGCTGGTTTATACGGGGAAAGTTCGATATGTCAATGGCGTCTTTGTTCCATTGTTCCTCTGTCAGAAAGAATATGCAGCATCAYCTACTATTTACACTTAACTTAAAATTTTAAATTTCAGCGACCTGTTGGCTTGTTCTTTCCGCCGATTGGTCACTTCACATAAGTGATAGCTTTATATTTCGGCCATGGCGTTTGATCATTCTGCTGAATCTCATACCGGGCTTGATTGGTGCCGTAATGCTGTATCCCTTTCCGGAGAGTCCAAAATTACTGTTGGCGCAGGATAAGGAATTCGAAGCCTTCGCGGCGCTGGAATGGATCTGTAAATTTAATCGTGGTCGTTCTATAGCAAGTGTTTTTGGCAATGATGCCGATTTCAAATTAAAACCGGAACAAATCGGGGACGACAATTTGCGAAGTGCTGGTGGTATTTGTGGAGTGCTTGTGAATATTTGGAGAGCAACAGTGCCGCTCTTTCACAAACCGCATTGTGTGAACTTCTTATTGAGCATTGTTTCGGTGTTCGGTATGTTTCTCACAKCGGCGGGCATGCAAATTTGGTATCCGGAAATTGTGAATCGCTCGTCAGGTGATAATGCCGGCAACAGTTCGTTAGTGTGTGAGATTCTAGAAGCTTCGTTCGAAAAGCAACGCCTGAATGTAACCTCCGTYGATATGGAGGTAAGTCTTTATTTCTTAGTGTAGTTGTGAAAGAATGTTGTTAAGTAACCTAAGCCTATAAAGCCGCATTTAATTTTCAAACTAATCGGAACTATAAATGTTTCATTATTATATAATATTTATGCTTTTCATACTAAGTTATATTAAACGTGTATTTAAGCCGATTAAAATGTGGCTTGTGGTCGGGAAACGTGAAAACTACCGATAGGCTTTATGTGAATTACTTTKAAATAACTTAACTACTTGAAATAATATTAGAAAGAGACCACTTTGCATCACCAACATAAATGTTTAATAAATCCATCACCATAACCTCAAATAACCCATGGTATGATAAATTTAAACTTAGTAAGTCTAAAATGATCAACAACTGAAAACAGGTAAGAAAGGGGCAAGTTCGGGTGCTCTTRCAACTTGCAGGAATCAAAGCCAGGGAAATAACTTAAGGTATTTGTTAGAAATACGAAAAGAGTTATATGTAGTATATGGGAGTTCGGGGTACTATCGACCCGATTTTATCTATTTTTGCCAGTCTTACATACCATTAATATGCCACATACTAAAAAAGTGTTCATGGGTTTAATTAAGGTACTACACATACAATCACCAATCATATGTAGTGGTGTGATGTTCGATGATAATGACATTAGTTATAAGGGAGCCTAATTTTATCTATTTTATGCACAAAAATACACTGTTAATGGTAAAACCAGCTCACTCATTTTCTGAACTATTGCCCAAAATTTGCAGTATAAAGTCCTTATATTAGGTATATTTAGGTTCAGGAAAGTATTGACCAGATTTTTAATACGCAKATTTACTATTCTCAGGAAAGGATTCTCTCTAAATTTCAATTGTATATCCCATCCATTGACCAATATTATACTATATGCTGYATTTTCCAGATCTGCGACGACAGTATTACGGCGAAGACTTACATAGACAATATGATTGTGGGCTGCGCCTTCTTACTGGGTTTTGCCATACAGGGTGCCCTGTTGAATCCTTTGGGCCGCAAAAATGTCTTATTAGCCGCATTGGCCATTGGCACGTTGAGTGGCATTCTGTTGCACTTCGTTACTAATACACAAGTTGTACTGGTGTTGTTCTGCTTGTATATATTGATGCCGGGATTATCCATATCGATTATGTGTGGCGCCATGGTGGATTTAGTGCCAACACAGTTGAGGTGAATATTGAAATAATGAAATCTAATTTCTATAAAAGTTAATTATATAATACCTTTTCGTTTAGGGGCAAAGCGGTTAGCATTGGTTTGGCGATGGGTCGCCTGGGCGTTATAGTGGCTTCCAATTTGATTGGCGTTATGCTGGAGCCCTATTGTAACACCACTTTTGCCATTCTCACGGCGTCGATTTTAAGTAAGAATTTTATATTTTTATACTCTCGCAACAAAGTTGCTAAAGAGAGTATTATAGTTTTGTTCACATAACGGTTGTTTGTAAGTCCTAAAACTAAAAGAGTCAGATAT